ACAAGACACACATTAACTACACAAACAGCACATTAACTACACAAGACAGCACATTAACTACACAAAAACAAAACTACACAAGACAACACATTAACTACACAAGACAGCACATTAACTACACAAGACAACACATTAACTACACAAGACAACACATTAACTACACAAGACAACACATTAACTACACAAACAACACATTAACTACACAGACAGCACATTAACTACACAAGACAGCACATTAACTACACAAGACAGCACATTAACTACACAAGACACACACAAACAACTTAACTACACAAGACAGCACATTAACTACACAAGACAGCACATTAACTACACAAGAAAAAAACACAAGACAGCACATTAACTACACAAGACACACATTAACTACACAAGACAGCACATTAACTACACAAGACAACACATTAATACAAAAAACATAACACCAAGACAACACATTAACTACACACACCAAACACGCTAAACGTCACAAATCTCTCTCTCTCTCTCTCTGTCACTCCTAAATCTTCCCCCTCTTCCTAAACAACCAAACGTCATGTTGCCATATCATTTTTTGATTGGTCGACATGGTGCATTTTTCCACCAACACCAGTTTTTTGTTGTGGTTTTTTTTGCTCATAAGCAGAGAGGTCTCGCTGCTGTCCTTAGACAGTAAACGTGACGAAACTATTGAGGAAAAAATGCTGCGTATATCTTGTTTATCATGACTCTGGTTTTACTGGCCTATCAGCACAATTTAAAAAACGGTATATATCACCTTGTTGCTTTGTCTTTAAGTGGTCATGTGATTGACCACGACTACTTTATTCTTCCTCAGTCAAACAGCAGCACTCATGCCATTGTTTTGCCCCTGTATTAATAAGTCTGTAATACGCTCTATCTTATTTTACAGCGCTGTTATTCAATCGGGGGAAGCTCTCCGTTGAGGATAAAAGCATGAATTTGTTTGTATACAGAGGTACCGAAAAAGTGCAGCAGGGCCTCGGGTCCTTCTGTCGGGTAGTCCAGTTTACTGAAGAACACCTCAGGCTGTCAGATTAAAACGATCGTGTTTTCGTATTGTAAACGCTGGCCCTCCTCTCAGAGCCTACGCTCTATCTGCTATTCCTGAACAGAGATACGCAAGTTTCTCCGTGACTGCAGCTGCCAGTCAAAGCTATGATAGCGTTACACCCCAATTTAACATCACCGCGGTAGGAATTAGAATCAAACTTATGGGAAAGGAGACCCCTTGGACATAAATCAGCGTGATGAGAACTATTGAAAACAAAAGACAGAATCTTTGGGAAAAAAATTATCTGAGGAGGCAGGATTTATGACCTATACTGCAGCCAGACACCAGGGGGCGATAGAGATGTTTACGTTTTTGGCTTCATTTTTTGGGAGCTGTCGCATCGTCCATGTTTTCTACAGTCATTGTGTCTGTCACTACCGGATCCATACCAGATACCCGATCCATACCATGCATGTGCGAACGGTGTCTACTTCCGGTCGAAGTATTTTACGATAGTTACAGGTCAGAGTATCTGTTAAGATGTTAAGGATAATATGTATATCTTAAAATGTTTGCAATAATGAAGAATATAATGTAGACAAAAACGAAAAATAAAAAGATAGTTACGGATCAGGACTCCCTGATCCGTACTGCGCATGTGCAGATGTTTTCTTCTTCTTCTGTTCGTTTAATGGCAGTTTACTCCCCAGTGTACGAGGATACCGCCACCTGCTGACCGAGCGAATGAACCCTATTGTAAACTGAATTAGCGTCATTACAAACGTGTGTTAAATTTGATTTAGTGATAGTCGAGTGTGTTTATGCTCGTCTGTGTGGAGAGGATTGTTGGAATAGTGATGATGATGTGTGCTATCACTGTCAGTTGTCAGTAAACACTTCATCTGGCTGATGAATCTTCACGTGAGATATTACAAAGTCTGTATTATTAACTCTGTAATTAGGCGCCATTCTTCTTATTTTACGGCGCTGTTGCTCAATCGGGGGACGCTCTCTGTTGAGGAGAAAAGCATGAATTTGTTTGTATACGGATTATCCATTGTTTAAATGTCCCGGGCAGTCGAAAAGGAGGCAGAGCTGTTGAGAAATGCTAGGAGCTAACTGGGCGCTAACCGCATCATTCAAATATATTAACTGTCGCAATGTTGACAAATAGAGGAAGTGACGTAAGATTTGCGCATGCGCGGTACGGATCGTGTTTCCGGTACGGATCGGGTAGTGACAGTAGCTGTGTCCAAATTCATGGGCTGCATCCTCCTGAGGCAGCATTTGTAGACCGATTACGTCACAGTGACGCACCGAAGGCTGTCCAAATTCGTAGACTCCTCCGAATGCGGCCGACAAATGCGTCCTCCTTTTCCCCGAATTTGAAGGATGGGTCGGGTGTGTCCTTCGTGGCCTACCATATCCCAGAATTCAAACCAGCCAAACTCAAGTTTCCGGCAATGGCGGCCGCTACTAAGTTTTAAAATTACTCTTACTAATCTTTCTGGGTCACAAAATAAACTTTTAACATATTTTTAAATGTGCGTGTGTAAACTTCAAATATCTGCTCAGTTTATCAAGATATCGCATATTTGCAAAAGTGCTTCGACGTTTTTGGAGACATCTGTTACCCACCAGCTCGATAGCTAGCCGAGAGCTTGGGGTCACTGAAGCCGCCGAGAACGGCACAACTCCCGGCACATCATTTTCAGATCACCGCGGACTTTTGCTACTTGGGTTAAAAGTAATATATAAGTCACTTAGACAACCTAAAAATGCTATTGTTTGGCTTTTTCAGTGTTTTATTTGTTCGTGAGTAAATCGGTTTGGCTGAGATTAAAGTTATTAGATTAGATAAAATAAAACTTTATTAATCCCCAGGTGGGTTCCTCCTTGGTTTTCACACAGCTGACTAAACGTCAAACAGAAAACTGATTAAACAGACGTGTGAGACGGTCGAGAATTTACGCCAGTGTCCTGTTATATTTTTGACAGCAAGGAGCAGACGGCCGAGTTTATTAAACTCCACCGAGACAGCAGTGACGCAGATCTGAAGGCTAGACCGTCCAATTCCACAGCCGTTTACTTCCAGCCTACCTGACCTTCTGTGGACCCGGCCCACGTAGACCGCAAAGGCCGGGTCCTCAGGAGGATGCAGCCCATGAATTTGGACGCAGCCAGTGTCATTCAAATACATTAACTGTCGCAATGTTGGCAAAGAGAGGACGTGATGTAAGATTTGACCATGCGTGGTACCGATCAGGTTTCCAGTACAGATCGGGTAGTGACACCCACACATGGATCCTCCTTTTCCGCAGATTTGAAGGATGGGTCGGGTGTGTCCTTCGTGGTCCACTATATCCCAGAATATATAACATATTTTCAGGCGAGAATCTGTGTAAACTTCAAAGATCTGCTGGTTTATCAAGATATCGCATATTTGCAAAAGTGCTCCGATGTTTTCGGAGACGTCTGTTACCCACCCGCTCAATAGCTAGCAGGGAGCTCGAGGCTCACTAGAGCCGGCTGAAATTAGCTGACTCTGAATTAAATCTGACATTAAAAATATTTCAATTCAGGAGGAAACATTTTCACCGGGAACAAAAACAGCAGGTTAATACGTGGAGATCCTGAAGGCTCCAAAAGTGATCAGATTAGATTTTAAGTATTTGTTCAGTTCTCTTCCAAACCCAGCAGCTGTCAGTTGTAATTTTTAAATGTTTACTAAAATAAAAATAAAAGCGTTATAACATCTCACCTGTTATAATTTTTAATCAGGCATACATGTGTACTATTTTATTAATAGAGAGATTAAGCTTGTGTTTCGTTCATTTAGTGATTGTGCTTAACTGTATGAAGCTTATTAGACATTATCAAACAGATGACATGTAAGCGACGTGTAGTGCATTTTACCAAAGTGCTTAAGATCATTTTTTAATTATCTTTTTTTCGTTAAAGAAATCAACTACATCATGTATAATTTTTTTCATGTCATGTGTAATTTCCAGTGCAGATATTAATCACAGTTAAATCAAACTCCAGAGCTGTGGTGTCATCAAGTACGCTGGTGTACAGAAATCGTGCCGTGTTGCCGAGAACGCGAGTACGGACTCGAGTACTCGCGAATTGAGAAATGGCCTTAATGAAAATGTAACCAAACTGTTTATCAGGGGAAAGTATAGCCTGACATTAGTTGGTAAATTGTTAACTTTTAACCAGCTGTTATTGTTGTCAGCTGTCTGGAAACAGCGGGGTCACGTCCGATCTGCTGATAATAGTCACAATATCAGGAGTAAATGAGCACGTTTATGCACATTTCCACATGTTAGAGACTTCAGCTTGAGGAGGAAGAGGGTGGGATTTGATTAAGGTGCTGGTGGCGTAGTCCCTTTCGTTCATATTCTGGTTTCTTTGGTGAAAGCTTCCCCTTCTCAGATGATCAAACAGGTATGATGCAGGTATGAATCTAGCTGTCCGTCCACAGTATGCAAACATCTACAGTTGCTCTTGTCCTCTGCCTTTGGCGTACTCCAGCCTAAAATGTGATAAGGCTGAGCGGCAGGGTGCAGTATCCAGATATCTTTGCCGCTGTGTTCAGCATGACAGCCTCCACAAACTGGTGCCCGTTTCTATTTTAAGAAGTTAATTCTAAACTTATCAGTTTGCTGGAAGATGAAATTACAGACTAACATGTAAGTTTCTGAGTACAACATTCTTTTTTGATTAAATAACTTGAAAAATGACTGATTATATCTTTAATATATTAAAAACTAAAACCAAACCTGTAATATAATGACATAAAATAAAACAAACTTTCCAGTGCACTGTACACAGTTACCAAAGTGCATCACTCTGTGTTAGAATGCATTTCGTTTTCCTTGAACACAGCACAGAAAATCATAAAATAAACGGTTCATTGATTTATTTATTTGGAAGATTTAACTCTCATTTCCTGTGATTGATCACATGCTGCTGACGTCACCCTCGCGTGAACGCGCGGGGGAATCCCCGGTCGGTCGATACTCAGCCCCGTGTGAGCTGGTGTGAGGGCGAGTCCACACACGGGCGTTGCTGAGCTTCGACGTGCAGGGCCCGGGACCCTCAGGTGGGAGGGCAGCGTAACTCACCTGGCTGCACAGGTGAGCTGAATCTGAGCTGATTCTGAGCTCTGCTGGTAAACACAGTCTGTCCCAGCGGCTGTGAGCGGTGATCAAACACCGTGTGGAGCAGTTGTTGGTGTTTTGTTATCGTTTGTCACGTACAGCTTTAAGAGGCGGAACCGGAAATCCCCCAAGACAGAAGCAGTCTGGGACGGAGACGTCCAGATTATCCAGGACGAGGAAGTGCGTCGGTGTGTGTTTCGATTCTTCAGCTCCAGCCAGCACGTTCGGCCACAGACCGAGGAATGAGGCCGACACCATGCTGCTGATCCTGCTCTGCCTCCACGCCGTCTCCTGGGGTAAGGAGCCGCCGCCGCCGGACAATACCTGCCGAGCTACCGGCTAACAACGGCCTGTAGCCCCGCAGGCTAACCACGGATGAAGCAATATTCTGTGCGTGTGCGCGACAGACAGACAGAGATTTTGTGTTTGAATCACGTTTTCGCTCCGGAGTCAGACTGAACTTTAAAATAACCGATGTTAAAATATCATTTTCTAATGTCTTCAGTTATTAATGACTCATTCAAGCTGTTTTGTTGTAATCGGCGTCAGGTGTTTCCAGCTGAACACGAAAGGCTGCTGTTACCTGCCAGCTGGGTTTCACCTGTGGATTTAGCGTGGCCGTCACATTCAGGTTCAAATGTCAGAGGTTATCTTAAAACTGATCATCCGGATAAAATACGGAACTCGTTGAGCTCAGACCAGGAAATGTTCGGTTCAGCGCGTCTAACATGAGAAAATGTCCTTTTTCTGTTTGATGCGACTGTTTCAGGTTAAAAAGGTGAAACAGTCGCAGCTGCTGGAGGGTTAAAGGTTCCTGTGAAACATGGAAGTGGGCTATAAATGTCCAAAGCTCCTGACATGACAGGAAAGGATCTGTGAGGCTTTCAAAGAGTTTATTTCAGGTTATAATCATCACTTCTGTGTTTGTTTAAATCAGCCTGTAAACATGTTTAACCTTCATTATTACTGATGCAATAAATGTTCATTCATCTGTTCACTGTAAACACTTTTGACTCTGACACTCTCAGGCAATAAATAACTGATCTGTCCAATCAGAAAACAGACATGAAAGTGAATAAATGACGTCACCACAAACATCAGGTTCACATCTGTTCAGTTTTTAAAAACGTGCCGTGTGCAGCAGACAGATGTTATTCCTCGTTTTTGAATCTTTGTCCCTCTGAGCTCAGGCGTCGTGGCGTCGATGGTTCCTGCTGTCTCTTTAATAAATCATCTGAGGCCGTGATCACATGAATAACAATAATCTGGATTATGCAGGGATTTCTCTGGTTTGCTTTCTTCACCTTTGCAGTTGCGTCTCAGGCGCCGCCGCCTCCACAGAACGTCCAGGTGGAGAAGGGTCAGCTGACGTGGACTCCAGGGGAGCCGGACGTTACCTACACTGTGAATTACCGCAGGTGAGCCCTCACAGCCGGGGAAGGTGCTCTGTTTTAAGGTGGAGCTTCCTTTTATATCGTCACGGCCGTTGGTGGCGAGAGGTCAGCTGATGACATTTATTTACTCCATCGTTCTCACAGTTTCACATGAAAGCCGCCATCAGAGAGCAGCAGGCTGAGTGTAGTGTCACTGTCACAGATTCTAATCCACAGTGGGCTGGTAAAATGTTTAGGAAGAGGTCAGAGGTCAGCAAAGCTCCTGCTTCAAAGCAACGAGTGATTGGGTTTCACAGCAGAGAGAACGCTGAGCAGAAGTTTTCTCTGACTCGTTTCTGTTCCTCATCCTCAGATTTAACTCTGATAAATGGGAAGCTCTTCCAGCCTGCATCCAGACGCCTTTCCATTCCTGCAACATATCAGCGATTGGGCCGCGCGACACTAACGACTCACCCGAGAACAGCTGCGTGACGCTGCGTGTGCGGGCCGAGAGACGGGGGCTGAGATCTGAGGGTGTTAACGCCTGCAGCAGATACGGTGAGAACCCTCAGATATGTGTCAGCGCTGTCTGTGGGTGAAGCTGTGAGACTCGAGGTGTTAACCATCCTGACCACAGTGTGAACCACGAGCTGCTGCTGTGCTGACGCTCGCTCTGCTCTTCCAGGTGACGTCTGCACGCCTCCGTTAAGCATTTTGACCCGGCCTGGATCACTCACCGTATTCCTTAACGATGACCACGAGCTGGCGAAGGAACACGCCAACAATGCCAAGCACAGGATTTACTTTGGCAGAGAGGGAGAGAGTCCTCTGCAGGTGAGACCACGGAGTGATTCCTCCAGGTGTTTATGCTCACCTGATGTTGGGTGGTATCTGCTCCTTTGTGTAAAGAGGAGCAGGATGAGTCCTGCCAGAGCTACAAAATGACTTCTGGCAGCACATTAGTGCATGAACTAGTTTTTCAGCGTCACTCTGAGACAGGATATTTCTAACTTTAGAGATGTTGCACAAATGGAAGAACGCAGTCTTACATATTTGTTTAATATGTGCATTGAAGAATGTCCCTTGCTGGGCTCTGTAGTTTTTAGTGTTCTTTTAATTCCTTTGAGCAGTTTTTTTTAAATTATTATTATTCATGCCAGTGTGCTTGCTGATACAGCCACATGTGTCTGTCAGTGGTCAGTGTGTGCAGGCAGGTCCAAGCATATTTGGACAGTTTGCCTCTGCACCAACAGACAGTCTGCACAAACTGTTTCAGAATTACAGCTATTTTTACACAGTTCCCATTTTCAGAAGCTCAAAGTGACTGAGAAGCAGTTTCGTGTCCAGATGAATCCTGCGCCTTCATTTTTAGGACTAAACTCAATTCAATTTTCAATTCAATTTTATTATATAGCGCCAAATCACAACAAAAGTCGCCTCAAGGCGCTTCATAGATACAGAGAAAAACCCAACAGTCATATGACCCCCTATGAGCAAGCACTTTGGCGACAGTGGGAAGGAAAAACTCCCTTTTAACAGGAAGAAACCTCTGGCAGAACCAGGCTCAGGGAAGCCAGAGAGCCACAAACGGGCAGCAGCTGCAGTGAAGCCCTGAAGCAGCATGTGGTCATGGGTCCATGGAGGGATAAACATCTGCTCTTATCAATGTTAAGCTGCACAGCTGGGTTACTTTCCGTGGAGCTCTGACAGTCTGATAATTCAGCTGGATACAGGAGAAGACGAGCAGAAGCAAACACTTCAGTTTAATTCACTCACACTGTGTGTGTGTGTGTGTGTGTGTGTGTGTGTGTGTCATTGTCTTCATCAGAAGTATGAAGACACCATAGACTCCAGGACCATTGAAGACCTGGAGGAGGGGCAGCGGTACTGTGTTCAGGTGGCCTATACGGTCCACGGGGACCTCGTGGAACCACGCAGCTGCATCCAGTGTGAGGTCATCCCTGCATCAGGTAAGCTGCTCTTCTTGGTGTAACGTTCCTTTAACGCGCTCCGACTCCAACCAGAGACACAGATGTAAACGACTCCGCTGCTTTTGAATCAGCTGAAGGTTTAAAGCTGCAGCAGTAAACTCACTGCGTCTGTTTTCTCAGAACACGTGAACAGGACGCCGATGATCGTGGGGCTGCTCGTCGGCATCGTGGTCCTCGCCATCATCATTCTTACATTGGGATACCTCGGGTTTTTCCAAACTGAGAAAATCAAACGCTGCCTGGAGCCACATAAATATGAAATCCCGCCGGTAAGACCAACACTGCTGCACACACTCACCACACAGACACTGGTGGGCGCTGTATCTACTCAGAGCGTGTCAGCGAGTAAAAGAGCTGATTTTGAAAGTGTTCGCTTCACGATCAGTGTGTAAGACCGACGTGGTTCTTCATGGTGACTGGTGAGTCGCTGAACTGTCCAATGGTGTTAACAGAGCCGTCAGTCCAGCAAAGTTAGAGCCAAAGTTAGATGGGTTTAATTTTGTACTTGTTTGGTCGAGTGTGTGAGACAGACACGGTTAGAGTGGGGAAAAGGCCGTCCTGTGTTTCCCACTATTGTGTTTTTTATTTGAATAATTTGTTTGTTTTTAAGCAGGCTGCTGCCGTTCTTTTGTTCTGTTATGTGTTTGAGTAAACGAATCGCTGCATTTGTTCGCAGCTGGAAGGGTTAAAACCGCTTCTCTGAGCTTCGACCAACATTATTAGCAGACGTACTCATGGGCAGATAAATGACTGTTGTAAAAACAATCGGTGAAAGGCTCAGCCAATCGCCCATCGTTAGTCTTCACTGCCTCTGAGGTTCCTGTGTCTTCTCCTCCTTCAGAATCTGTTTCGTGGGGAATTTGAAGTCCGACCATTTACTCCCATCGTAGAGCGCTATGACGACCTCCAGATCTCTCACGGTAACTACGAGCCCAGATCAGCACTCAGCCCTCCCGCCGCTGCTTCCTGAACTCTTGGAGAGGCTCCGCCCACTCACAGAGACTCCACTCAGTTTACCAGCAGAGGCGACTGAGTCGCTCACCTGCTCCAGGTGATCTAACCGTGCACCATCTGGATTATTTACCTGTGAGCACCTGATCTCAGAACATTTGTGAACTACTCCCATGAGGACAGTGGGTGGAGTAAAACCAGGATGGAGCGCAGCGAGCAGCTTCCTGACACTAATTTTAACCACTGCGCGCTAACAACCATCGCAGCAGAGAAGCGGGTCACTCTAGCATTAACCAAGTATCGTTTCTGAATGGCCACGCCTCCCTGAATGTTCTCCACGCTGCCGCTGCTTCAAACCTCCGATGACAGAAAATAGTAGAAAAACAGGAACTGCAAACACGTCTGCGTGCTCTTTCTCAAACTTCCTACAGTCCTGTTTAACTCTGAGAGTTAGTTCCTTTATTAATAACTGTCGGTGAGAGCGTTCCTGGGCAGGTGGGAATAACACGCTCACTGCTGGATCTGACTGGCTGCGGTAAGAGGACAGTTGTGGCCAACACTTCCTGTTTCAGTGAAATAGGAAGTGTCGCATGCGCCTGTAACATGAACACTGTTGGGTAAATATTTGTCTACGGGAAATTTTCATGTAATTTTTTGGGGGGGGGCGGGGACACAGGAAGCCCCTCCTCCCTGCAGAGGTCAACTCCCCGTCCTTCTGAATAAGCGGAGTTCACCTTAATAAAATGTCTGAGTCACTGGTGAGGCTGAGTCATTGCTTCCAGTAAACAGCAAGTTAAAGGTTACAGTAACAAAGCAGCAGCTCACAGCCACGCCCACAACACTTTTTATTGTTTCAGGAACGACTGAAGCAGCCGAGATTTTTAACTTTAATACTGAAAAATCATCAACACACATCGTAGTCACAAACAGGAAGTTCAGGAACAAAAAACGTCCTTTTATAATCCAGTGTCAGACGGAGACGAGACAGCAAATGTGCTTCCAGCTATAAATTAGCCCCGCCCCCTTGAAGTGTCAGCCTGGAAGATTTTCATTAAAAATACATGTAACAATCACAGACTTTTAATTTGGAGGAGTCACAGGAAGTACAATCTGGAAACCAATCAGGTACAGTCTGAGGTAAAAAATTTTTTATTTAAAACGGTCCAGAGTGAGCGTGACCTGATGGACGAGGTGAAACGTGTGTGTGTGTCACCTGTGGCTAACAGGTTAGCATCCGTCCTGTGGCGGCTACACATCGCTCCGCTCGACTGTGCTACATCCAACCACAGCAGGACGGGGCCGGTTTGCTCAGCTATTTGTTTACGGCTTCTCGTCAGAGCGAGAGGCGAGTCTCACATCCAGCTGTTTACGGCTAACATGTGACTATTAGCATTTAATCAACAGGAAGTGAGGCTGAAATCTCCCAGAGTGACACTTTAACAGTAAGACCGGCGGTCCTGCCCGCCAGCAGGAATTCCCTCATTTTACAAAACACACTGAGACTGACACAGAGAAGTGAAACATAACAGAACTATATTTACACGTGTGTGTGTGCGTGCGTGTGCGTGCGTGTGTACGTGTGTGTGCGTGCGTGTGTGTGCGCGTGCGTGCGTGCGTGTGTGCGCGCGCAGCAGCACTGATTGGTCTCCATTTAAAAAGCAACAATACTAAAACTGTTTTTACAGCTTCGATTAAAACAGCAGAATACAAAACATCTGAAGGCCGTGTGTGTGTGTGTGCACGGGTATTAACATCTTAATGGGGACCAACATTTGGTAGTATACTATACTTGTGGGGACAAGCAGCCCTCATGGGGACCAAAATACCGGGCCCCAGTTTGAAGGCATTTTTGAGACTCAACTAGGTTATGATTTGGTTTAGGGTCAGGCGTTCATTTTTGATGGTTAGGGTAAACGGCTAGGGAAAGCATTATGTCAATGAGATGTCCCCACAAGGATATAAATACGTGTGTGTGTGTGTGTCTGTAGAGACGTCTTAACCCCATAAATCTTCAGTGCGGCCAAACTTGTAGATCAGAGTGCTGCAGAGAGAGAAGACAGTGATGTCACAGTGATGTCACACACTGAGCAGACAGATCCAAACTCACAGCTCAGCTCCACAGTGCTGTGATGTTTGGAGGCTAATGAAGCTCTCTGTCATGTAATAGCTGTGTCACTACCGGAAACCCGATCGGTACCCCGCATGCGCCAAAGGTGTCTACTTCCGGTCGAAGCGTTTTACGATAGTTACAGGTCAGAGTATCTGTTAAGATGTTAAGAATAACAAGCATCTGTTAAAATGTTTCCAATAATGAAACATGTCAATATAATGTAGACAAAAATAAACAGAGTTACGGATCAGGGCTCCCGATCCGTACTGCGCATGTGCAGATGTTTTCTTCTTCTTCTTCTGTTCGTTTAATGGCAGTTTACTCCCCAGTGTACGAGGATACCGCCACCTGCTGACCGAGCGAATGAACCGTATTGTAAACTGAATTAGCGTCATTACAACCGTGGCCTCAATCTGATGTAGTGATAGTCGAGTGTGTTTATGCTCGTCTGTGAAGAGGATTGATTGGAATAGTGATGATGATGTTCGCCATCACTGTCAGTTGTCAGTAAACACTTCATGTGGCTGATGAATCTTCGCGTGACACATTATAAAGTCTGTATTATTAACTCTGTAATTAAGATAAGATAAGATGACCTTTATTAGTCCCACAGGTGGGAAATTTGTTTTGTTACAGCAAAAGTAATACAAGTAGCAAAATTAGGCGCCATTCTTCTTATTTTACGGCGCTGTTGCTCAATCGGGGGACGCTCTCTGTTGAGGAGAAAAGCATGAATTTGTTTGTAAACGGATTATCCATTGTTTAAATGTCCCGGTAGTTGAAAAGGAGGAAGAGCTGTTGAGAAATGCTAGGAGCTAACTGGGCGCTAACCGTATCATTCAACTATGTCGCAATGTTGGCAAAGAGAGGAAGTGACGTAAGATTTGCGCATGCGGGGTACGGATCGTGTTTCCGGTACGGATCGGGTAGCGACAAGCTACACAGCTGTGGTTAAACTAACATGAGCACAAGGCAGGTGGAGGTGAAACATGATGGTCCTGATGGACTGAGACAAACTCCAACCACGACAGGGTGTGAATCAATCATTAATCTGCAGCAGGTTAGAAAACAAACACTCATTCAGAGCTGGAAACCCCTCCCTGAGAAATCTGGTATTTACAGTCTGTGTGGATGTTAAAGCTTCTTTTCACGCTCGTATCCATCCACCCGCCTTTAGTTCTTCTTTCTGCATCAGTTAGTGGAACAGAAAGGGGCCTGAATGGGTTAAACTGAGCCAGGCTTTCCTGGCAGGAGCTCCCGCCCATTACGGGAAATAAGATGCAACAGGTTTCATGTAATGTGTCGCAACGCTGCAGGAAGCACATATTTGGCACCAAGCTGGTTAATTACAACAGGCCTGTGCGCCGTTTCAGCTGCTTCAGTGTCAGCGCTGCTGCTTTTCACTCACCTAAAAAAGATGAAGGCGTTCTGAAAGAACACAGCCATCCCCGGAGCCACTTCTTTCTCTGCGGGAACACAGCGACATGTTATCAGTCACATCAGGTTTCACTGTGACTGAGCATGCTCAGAGAGAGCCGACTCCCTGCGCAGGTCTAAGGAAGTCAGATTAAAATCATTTGTTGTATTTTTAGACTCCACAGTGTAATAACCACAAGGCTTTTCTTCTGCTGCTCACACAGCAAGCGCAGCAGGGTGAAGACTGCAGCGCATGGACCTGCTGCAGGAGCAAAGCTGAATTTAAAATAAGACTCCCTGATCCATCGTTTCAGGATCAAATCCGACCAACTACCAGGTCTACGCTGCAACCTCAAACACCCTGCTGTGGTCACGTGTGAGAGGCCACAAACTGCACCCGCTGGAGGTGAAATGAACCGAGGGCTGTCCCTGAGTGCTACCTGCGCCTCAGTCACGAGAACAATGAGCAGTTTGAACCTTGTGTGGTTTGTAGTGATTCACTGAGGTTTGCTTTCGGTTCGTGTGGATTTTTTCTGTGTGAAACGAGACCAAACCACAGGAAAAAGCTCCAAGTTTCCAAAACGGTCATGTGATTCAGAGCAGAAGAAAACACCATGAAGCAGCTGATAAAGGCCAGCAGTGACTTCGCGCTCCAAACCATAACATACTCTCTGACTTTGTCCAGGCTGAGCTGTTATTAACTTAAAGGTATAACTTCTGGTTTTCCCTCCAGCCTTCTGATCATTTCCAGGTTTGCATGTTTGACCAGCAAGGACAGACTGAGGGGAGAAACTCACTCGGCACTACGTAGCCTCCAAACAGGATCCAGATGGAGCCGATGAGCGAGCCGAACATCATCATGAAGCCGATGAAGAGCCAGAGACGAGCTCCTGCAATCGCAGACACATGCAGTACAATTACATATGAGCAGTGCTGTGTCTGCTGTGTTTGTCCATCCTGACGGCTGTGCAAAGGGCAGGATTCACACCGCCGTCAGATATACGTTTTTTTTAAATATCATTTTAGCTTTTATTGGCTAGATACAGCGAAGAGAGACAGGGTTAGGGTAACCCTAACCCACGCCGGCATGTGGTCTGTGCACCCACTGAGCTACACCACATATTAGTCTCTTTACAGCCACACAGACAGCTGAGGCTCTGCACTTTACTCTTAACATCTGCCTCACGTGTGTGTTTCTCACACCTCTGAGCGCCACAGCAGATCCCTGACAGGTGACAAACACTCACCTGTCCGGCCCATGCAGCCTTCTCCGTACGTGTCCCCCTCACCTGGCCGTTGGAAACTGCATTAATCCTGAGAATGAACACAGAGTCACATAGAGGAGTCTGAGCGCTTCATGCTGCTCACACTGCAGACATAAACAGGAAGTGATCACATGATGTTTCAGAGTCTCTGCTTTGTTTTTGACCTTTGTTGATTCACATTTGACTGCAGCACCAGTTTCCAAGCACACCGTGAAATCTGGCAGGTCTGTAACTTCCTCGGAGTCTGAGGTCAAACCTGTCTGACACCAGCTCAGCTCATTAACAGCATCGAGGTCAGAATAACAACAGACTGAATGATTCTGCAGTTTGGCTGCTCTCCTGTCACATCGTGAAAGGTTTTGGTTCCTCTTTGGTGAAAGAAGAGTTCTAAGTAATGAGGCATCATCAGAGGTCACAATTTGTCCTTTCAAAGCCTCGCTGAGATGTTTAAGCTGAAATTACATTTCACTGCAGGAGGAAACCATATAAAGCAGCTGCTTGTAAAGAGGCTGTGAGGCACATGAACAAACCCAAGCAAATCTTTCATGTGGATAACTCTCCCCCACCCGCCCGCGCCTCAATGGTCTAACAACTCTGAAAGCATGTACGGTATGAAAGCAACGTTTCACACTTACATGAAGAAAGCGATGGTGGAAAAGACGCCACAGGTGTGGAAGGCGTGGTTCATCTGCTCCTGGGTTGGATACGCCACAGCGGCGTCGATCATGATCCACCAGCCGGTGAAGAACTAAAAGAAGAGAACGTGCACAGCGAGACGTGACGTTTCTAAAGGTTTTACTTCCTGTCCATCCTTAGCAGACATCCGTGCTGTCACTAATGTCTGAGTGTTTACAGATCATGGGGTGGCTGCAGCTCAGCTCATCTGGCTGCTCCAGTCTGCATACCAAATATCCTTGGAAAGATACTAAACCTCACTGCTCTCCGATGGATGAATGTGTGTGAATGTTGGATAGAAAGCAAAGCAAAAAGTGTTTGTGTGAATGAGGCTTTGATTGATCAGATGTGTCTTAGCTGGACTGGTTTTTACATCAGACTATCACAGCAAACTTCTGGATTATTAACAGTCATGTTTGAGGTAAACACAGATTATGGCATTGTTCTGGGACAAACGGGAAACAGATCGCGTGAAGCGGAATATTTACAGCTCCAATAAGACCTCCACCATTCACCAACCTCCCAGCGGCGAACATTTATCTTATCGGAGATTTCAAACAGACTCCGCCCCTCTCTGCCTCACACTAACCAGAACTCCGGCCACGATGGAGGCCACGGCATTCCTCCTCTCGCCCCAGTCGATGCATTCACACTCGGGCCAGCGGAAGTTATCCAAAAAGCCGGCCATCCTCCTCCTCCGCCTTCTTCTTCTTCAGTTGTCCTGACAGGCAAGTCTGCCGCCCCCTCAGCAGCTGCTCACACTCTGTGAAAGACGCCTTTAAAACAAACACAGGCCATTAACAGCGTCCTGCAGCGGGTGAAGGACGTCTGGACCTGAAGATTCAACCAGAACCAACGGACATTGATTTTCACCACATCTGCTACAAACTGTCAGAAATATGAGGACACATCGTCATTCAGAAGGTTTTTTTTTCCATTTTAATCGCAGAAGAACGTTTTGAAAAATAAACAGACGGGAGAAACAGATCCATGTTTCTACCTGGGTTTAGCTCACTGTCACGCATCAGCTTACAGACTCAGCAGTAGGGCTGCACGATTAATCGTTAGAAAATCGCGATCTCGATTCATACTTATGTGCGATCTCATTTCCAAATGACAACGATTTAAAGACGATTGTACCGCATTTTGATCCGGGACGTAATCTGCATGAAAACAAGCGCTCACTCTTCCTGCTCAACAAATGACAAGGGCGGAGCCTTATACCACGTGATACAGAAGGTGTGATGCTAAAATTAGCAGGGAAAAAAACAACGGAGAGCACGTCAGGGATGACGAGAAAGTGACAGGAGAAAATCCGTCCCGGTCAACCACCCAAACACCAATAACGGGAACCTTACACAGCGCTTCCCTATACCCGTCGAACTCAAAGACATTACGGAGGCTATCACTTATCACCTGACCAAAGATATGGCTCCATCAACACTGTGCAAAACGAGGGATTTAGGAAAATGATCAACACCCTAGACAAACGCTACACAGTGCCGTCCCGCAACTATTTTTCTATTGTTGCACTACCTGCTCTGTACACGCAGCGTCGAGCAACGGTGGAGACGGAATTTCAAGCAGTACAACATTTTGCAGCAACAACAAAACGTGAGACATTTGTTGTTTTTATGTTTATTTATTGTTTTTATGTTCAGTCTCAACTGTTACTAAGTTGATGTGCAGTTAATAAGTGCAATAAATATTTATACTGGAAAAGAGAATCGTGAGAGAATCGTGATCTCAATTCTAAGCAAAAAATCGTGATTCTCATTTTATGCAAAATCGTGCAGCCCTACTCAGCAGCAGGTCAGAATCACACAGAACAACATTTAGACATTTCCTCCAACAGCACGTGATCAGATGATCACAAGTTCAGTCTGAGATTCACAGCCGGGGTTCTTTCACTGCTCTCAGGAAAAAGCTTCACGAATCGGAGGAAACTCTGAACATTACCTCCTCCTGACCAGGTGCAGGTTATGACCAGGTAAGGTGTTGAGCATCCGTTACCATGGTGACTTAGTGGGTAAAAAGAGAGGCCCAATTTTAGGAGTGTCACCTGTCCCGGCTCCAACACTGAGATGCTTCAGTGATGGACTGAAGCTGCAGATGCTGACCTGCTAACACCTGCTCACCAGTTTCCTGCAGGAACCTGATTATTTTACTGTTTCTTTATTTTTTAACAAGCCATTTCGTGATATAATTACTTTATTTTGACTTATTATTCTTTTTCAGTCTGAGATCTTTTACATTTAAAGGAGCTTCTTTTGTGGTCTTTTAGAATTTAATTGGTATTTTATAACTTTACACTGTAGTTCAGCTTTTTATTTCTTTCACAGTTATTGAGGTCTGTTTTGTTCCGGCTGGTTCACTTGTTCTCATGTACATATTTAAAGCGCAGGTGTATCCGCAGGGCAAAGTGTTTGCTAGCTGGTCGGGGCTAACTGTTAGCTCCACCGCAGCACAGGCGTAGCTGCTCCGTCAGCCTCCTGCAGGTGTGCGGATTCCCACACCGTCAGGGTTGTCAACACCTGTCTGTTCTTCGCTCCCTGCTGGATTAATAACCGTACACCTGTCCTGTGACGGTCACAGCTCACCGAGCATTTGTTCCACCGAGCAAACGGGAGCTAACGGAGGCTAACGCTAACTGCTCGTAACCCGCCTCGTTTCCCGCTTTATTCCTTCAAGTAACATCTGAAGCAGCGCGTTAGTCGCACCTGCCTGCGAGCCTCCCAGCTGTCTGAAAACTCACCTGATATCAATCACCCCCATGAAACAGAGCCGCGCAACAACGTTTTTCACTTTCCATTTACGGCACAGCCCCTCGTCTGCGGCTTCATTTCCGGGAGCCTCACGGGCTCTGCGGCACACTGCTGCCTCCTGCGGTCAGGACCAGGCTCTGCATCCTGTAAAGTCACTAACTTTAGCAGTAGTGAAGCGCTGTATGCTGGCAAACAAATACCACGTATACACACATGTGATGAACGATTCCCCAAGGCTGGGGAGGCCGTTTATAAAGAATAATTATATAACCATATAAAAATATATTTTTACATAAAATGTTTTAAATTAAAAATCTTTACACATAGGGAGGTTTTTGCATTTCATTCATTCATCTTTATTTCCCATCAGCATATCGATCTGCATTCACTCACACTTCAGTCCAGCACAGATGAAAGATGTCTCAGGTCTTATCTGTGAGACCCGTGTGGTGAGCACCATAAACACAGCAGCCTTCTTAATATGTTTTGTTCTATAAGCTGGTTTGTTGTCCATGAACTAAAAATGAGAGAGAAGAGTAGAACAGCAACGGCATTATCACATGTGGCCACAGTAAGTGTCCAGTAGGTGTCGCTGTTTTCACTGAGTCTTCTCTGAGCTGGACTCATGTTGCTGCCTTGCTTTGATGTTTGATGTTGATGGTTTTTCCACAAACCAGCAGAGACTGATTCATGAGAAAACCTCAGAAATCTCCTGCTTGTTCGAGCCAAACATCAGCATGAAAGTCTGAAACGGCTCCAGACTTCAGACACAGACAGACGGCGAGAGAAAAAGGCTGCGAGGTTGACCTGAGAGCTGCTGCTCTGAACGAGCTTCAGTCAGACGTGAACATGAAGCAGAGCGGTGCTCTTCATCATCAGAGAGCCTCAGACAAGCGTTCCTGTCATGGACAGACCTCTGGGCTTCGTTCAGAAACACAGGCCACAGCTTTTCTCTTCCACCAAAGGACAATCGGCCGCTCTCTCACTTCATTTTATTGAAACGTCAGCTTTCATTTACTAAAAATATATTTTTCTTCTAATGACCAGAACAGCATGTGGAAGGTCAGATTTCTGTTCAGAGAGGCGATGCAGACTCACAGCACCGTCACCTCCACCCACTCCAGAGAAAGCCTGATTACTTGCCCTAACCCTTTCAGCCCTGATACTGATACATGTACAAATACTGATGCTGATAAAGGTACAGGCACACATACAGATACGGATAAAGGTCCTGATACAGATTAAATATAGTCAGGTCCATAAATATTTGGACACAGACAACTGTTTTTGGTTCTGTGCATCAACACAATACATTTTAAACGAAACAGCTCAGATGCAGAGCTTCAGCTTTAACTCAGTGGGTTGGACAAAAAGATTGGATTAAAATGTGAGGAACTAAAGTATGTTTAACACAATCCCTTCATTCCCACACAGATTCAATAAGTGATAATGAAGTGTTCATTTCTAATACGCTGTTGAAAACCCTTTGCTGGGTTTGCTGACGGTCTTAAACTCACAGACATCACCAGATGCTGGTTTCCTTCTCTCTCTCAGGCCTTTACTGCAGCAGCTTTCAGCTCCTGTGTGTTTGTGGGTCTTTTTGACCAAAGTTTAGTCTCGAACAACTGAAATGCTCAGTTGGGTGAAGGTCAGGTGACTGACTTGGCCACAGATAAGGATGTAATGAAGAAATTCCCCACACCTGTCCATGAAATAGCCTTTGAGTCAACTGTCCAATTACTTTTGGCCCACTTAAGAAGAGGGTTGCACACGTTAAGGAGCTGAAACTCCTAAACCCTTCACCCAGTCTGAACGTGGTTACCCTCGATCGAAAGCTGAGAGTCTAACCATCATATCCACGTCTATTATATAACTATAACTGGAATATGACTCAGTAAACAGGTCACAACACAAAACTTGTCAGTGTCCATATATATATGGACCTAACTGAACAGATACTGATGCAGGACGACTCCTTCACTCTCCTCCTGAGGAGGTTCATCCGTGAACATTCAACACTGAACAGCTACACACAGAGCAGTAAACTCACCCCGATCACTTTCCAGCTCCTAATCTTTGTGTGGATGGTTTTCTTCTTTTTAGGCAGCCAGATGTTCAGAGTCCAGCTGTGGGTGTCGGTGAAGGTTCAGACGTGTCAGCAGGTGAGATAGCAGATGGAAACGTCATTAAAGCGATGATAAGAGGCGATATGGTAGGCTCTGAGTCTGCTTTTGTTCATATCTGCAGACTCACTGATAGATCACTCTGAGGTGTTAGAGTCTACGGAGAGAGATTCAGTTTTCCTTCAACATAACACAAGATAAGCTAAGATTCTTTTTCAGCAGCTGAAACTAAAACACAACCTAAAGCTGTATAAAGTTCAAATGTCTGACTCAGGCACACAGAGCTCTGTGATGGATCGAAACCTGTACAGGTGTACCCATCTCTCACCCTATGAGACCTGTGATAGGCTCCGCCCACACCATGACCCTGGACTGTAATGAAAATGAACAGACTCTGCTCACCCAGCAGGAGAGGATGCCATCCCATAATAACCACCAGCCTGCTGACATGTTTGAAGCTTCAGCGTCTGTGAAGCCAAAATAAATCCCCCTGTATGAAAATGTGATCCTTAAACAAACTGATCAGAGATCACAGATTTATTCACGTCACTTTTATTTACATCACAACCACAGGCTGAATCGTATCCATCCACTGGATCCTGATCACTGATTCATTGATCTCATTCAATGATTTTAATGACAGCTTCACCTGTAAACGATGAATCAAATCTACAGTATGACAGAGTGGAGTACACAGGAAGCAACAGAACACAGAAACAGCAGCGGTTTTAGATACGGGCGACACGGGCGGTTTGCCCGGGCGGCATCACGGGCATCGGCAAAAAAAGAAAAAATGCTCCGATAAAAAAAAGCTATGATACCGGACACAGCTACTTCTTCTTCTTCTTCTACGGGGTTTAACGGCAGCTGGCATCCTTGTACATGCAGTGCTGCCATCTTCTGTTTCAGTCCGTTATTACACTCTTAAATCCTGTTACTTATTCCTTTATCCTACTACTAGCTCACAAAAGATTAGATCTTTTGTGATCTTACAAAGCTTCAAACGACGCGTCGACTATTAAATCAGTCGTCGACCATTTTGATAGTCGACTAATCGTGACTAGTCGACTAATCGTGACTAGTCGTGGCAGCCCTAGTATGCACGCTGTCCTCAACAGCCATACTGAAACTGTCACAGTTCCAACGTCAGTAGGAAACACAGCCAGATAAACTTTTCAGGACAAACGAGACACAAAAGCAATTTTACTGGAAAGCAAAGATTGTTTCAGGACCTACAAGTTTAAAAGATTAAACCAGCAGCTCCAGGGAAGGTGACACAGATGCCTGTGAGAAGAACACCACTAAACCACTTCATACTGGGAGCTGAGGGATCAGGAGCTCATACCCAGGAAAATATGATTTTAACCCCATCCTGCAACAACACAAGTAACAGTGAAGAAAAGAAAACTTTGCATTTTCATCTCATGTTCCAATTACAACTTAGATGTGACAAAATAGGTTTTAAGATCAGGTGTAGAGGTCAGTTTGTTTTATAAATGATTTAGATCATTTCATTACAGATCATGAAACTAAAATAGACTTTGTTTAAGAGAGTGAAGAAGAAACACCCAGTGCATCATGGGAATCCCCCGGCAGCCTACGTCTATTGCAGCATAACTAAGGGAGGATTCAGGGTCACCTGGTCCAGCCCTAACTAAATGCTTTAGCAAAGAGGAAAGTTTGAAGCCTGATCTTGAAAGTAGAGATAGTGTCTGTCTCCTGGATCCAAACTGGTTCCACAGAAGAGGGGCCTGAGAACTGAAGGCTCTGCCTCACGTCTCAAAATAAAGTTTTTCTGGTTCTGAGTAAAACCCTGAAACTTCCTGTTTTGCTGAAGTTCTGCATTTCTGTGTTTTCAGCGAGGATGTGGTTAAAAGTGTTTGTTTTTTTGTCAGTAGCCTGTAAAAAAACATGTGATGTGATGTGACAGCTGACCTTTAGTCTGAGAGCCGGACCAAAAGAACAGCCCAGCAGAACAAAACATCATCGAGATGCACAAAATAAATAAAGGAGGGTTCAAATGATTCATAAATGCAGCTGAAGTGTGCGTCCACGCAGTGACTGATGGGAAAACAAGTTCAACTGGAGCGCCTCCTGCTGGCCTCAACGGCCCGTGTACAGGTAGCACTGGGGCCTCAGGGTGGCGCTACAGGGCTTTGAAATGAGGCCTGGCTGAGGAGTCGTCTTTGTCAGAGGCAAAATCAACTTGGTTGGCAACAGTTGCTCGAACAGATGTGTGGTAGACTTGCTTTTCAGGAGCTGCTACCGACAAACCAGCAAATAAACATCAAATATTTCCTCCCTGACATTTGTGAGCTTCCCTCAAACACACTCCGTCAGTCTTGTTGCTGCTGAACAATAAAATATTCAAAAAGTTTACCTGGTGATGTTCTCTCGCACGATCGCAGAAACACCAAACGACTGACACCACGCCGATGCAGTTCACAGGACAGAGCAAACGATCTGGAGAATCTTGTCGTTGTTATCGTTCCCCTCGCACGTGTTATTACTGCGATTTCAGCGTTTTGGCTTCACAACTAAAGCGTGCAGTTTACTTTGTGAGCACTCAAATGGAGTCCTGAAAAGCAAGTCTACCACACATCTGTTTGACCAACGCCACTTGATCTGGAACACCAGCAGCCAAGTTTGAGTCTGATTTAAAACGATGTTTCACGTGTTTCTGTAGCGAAGAACAATCAGAAGCATTTCATCCGTCACAAAGACTTTTATTAGAAATAAATCAGAGTATTTACAGTGTTCACACTTCTTCATCATAAGTTCTGCTGGACGGCCCGAATCCTGCCTGATGGAGATCCAAGGTGAACCCGCTGGAAACAGCAGAGGACGGCGAGGTCTCACAGCAGCTGGTGGCAAACCCAAGCCAACCTCATCCCCACATCAGTTATTACTACACCCAAACACACAGCCTGCAGGGCTACACCTTCACATGTAGTTATGTTGTAATCCAGTTACTGAACACGTAATTAAACTGGGCTACGAAGACAGAGCAGTAAAAGACCCAGACTGTCTCAGTACAGCCCAGCATCGGGTCACCTGGTTCCTACGAGCAGGAGCAGCAGAGGCTTCGGTTAACCTCCGACCATTAAAACCATTAAAAAACCAGTAGAAAGCAAAACATTTACATTGACATGAATAAACTATTAAAGTATAAACAGCAGCCTGTGACAGTGGGAACAGCTTCACCTGGGCCAGCTTCACCTGTTCTTGCTCGTCTTCATCACTTCACTGCTGCAGAGTTCACAGCTCTAAAACCTCACAGTCAGAGGCCGATTCTCAGAGTCTTTAAAGTGCATCCCACCCCCTCCTGCGCCTCCTAGCCCCCATCCTGTGAGGTATCAGGCTGAGTGCTGCACCCTCCTTCCTCCTCAGTCCTGTGGTCTGCTACGATGCTGACGTGGTCGCAGTGCTCAGAGGGCAGCGAGACTGGGTAGATGGAGTTGGGATCATTCAGCAGCAGAGACTGAGGGGGCGGGGCAGAAAGGTCAGTGTTAGATTAAAGAACACACTCACACACACACACACACACACACACACACACACACACCTCTTTAAAGTGTGGCGGCAGCACGACTTCTGGGCACAGGAACTTGGAGATTTGTTTCCAGTAGACCACCAGAGTCACCACCAGAGCCACCACCGTGGCCATGACCACAAACGTCACCACGGCCGCCACCCACGGAGCTGCATCCACTGTAAGAAAACCACACAGCAGCAGGTGAGCCCATCAGCGACACCTTGAGCGATTGTGACGGCTGTGTGACGGCGGTGCCTACCGTCACCGGTGCGCTCACAGACGACGTCGCTGTACTCGCTCGGTCTGGGGTTCATGTTGGTGATGATTTGGACCTGGACGCAGTATTCGCTCAGCGGGTCCAGGTCACTAAGAACCACTCGGTCCTGCATCATGTCACTCATTGTTTCTACCTGTAGGAGGCAGCAGAGGAGCTCAGCTGATTTCACTGTTTTCACTCTTTGAATTTTTAAAAGTTACAGTTAGGGATGCACCGATACTGGTATCGGTGCATCCCTAGTTACAGTGTGTAAAACATCATCACTAGCTGTCAGCAGTTTCTTACCCCTCACACTTTAAGTGCGTAGCTCTAACTACGGTGGCTGCTGTAGGACAAACATGCTTCTATGAGAGATCAAACACATGAAATTTGGACTGTACATCATAACGGTTGTGGCCGTATTCCTGCTACTGTTTGGACCGCGTCCACCTCCAAGCCTGTGGAAGGCTGTCAGTGCTGTTTACCTCAGCTGTCACTGGTGGGCGAGACGCCGCCACCTTTATTTAATCTGAAAGAGGCTGTGAAGCTCTGTGACAGGAGGCCAGTGCAAGTCAGGGAAGCTCAGCCATGAGTTGTTGAGCTTATGCTTAAGTGTCCTTAGCAATGCTGTTTCTGCTGCTTTTAGCTGGTTTAATGAAACTTTATTGTGCATCTAACATTGTTGCACCCAGACGCTTTGTGAACAAACTCTCGTGTGATATGAGAACGTAATCAAACTGTTTATCAGAGGGAAAGTGTGATTTTAGGACACTGGAGCCTGATATTAGCTGGCATAATGTTAGCTTCTAATAATATTAGAAGCTAAAACTACAAACCGGCGTTCCCACCTCTTCCTTCGAGCTGCTCTTCCAGTAGGTGATGTTATAGGTGGCCGAGGTGTACGTCTCCCTCAGTTCTGACTGCTTGAACACTGGGTCTTTAATGCTGACTTCCAAAGATGTCCCAGTGACATGAAGAGTCACATCAGGTGGACCGATGAAGGCTGAGGGGGACAGATGTGGAGAGACGTTTTTATTGGACAAAATCAAAGCTGCAGCTTCTCTAACAGTCCACTCCATCTGCTACAGCTCTGTCATGCCAGTGTGCTTGGAGCTGGGGAGGTTCCCACCATGACGGCAGATGGTTTCACTGAGGACACAGACAGAAACACAGAAACCAGGATTTCACTCTGACTGGACTGAAGTCAGCGACGGCGAGAGCTCTGACGAGCGAGACGCTGAAAAGCTCGCTCACGGTTTCATTTCTGATCGTCTTCAGCTCAGCGAGGCTCTTCAGACGTCCCTGCTGAAGCAGTCATTGCATAACTGCAGACTCCCCACACAGCTGCTGCCACAGTCTGAACCGGAGCTGAAGGGGACCATCCTGATCTCAGGAAGCTTCTCTGAGAGCCACCAAATGGTCTCATTCACCAATCTTTCATTTACCTCCCAAAACTTGTTCTGTTAGATCAATGATCAAGTCAAGTCAAGGTAAGTCAAGTCTTACCTTTGCAGGAACGATCTAGAAAGAGTGGTCCATGCTTTTATTACTTCACGGCTGGACTACTGTAATTCCCTCTATGCTGGCCTAGATCGTTCCTGTCTACATCGCCTTCAACTGGTGCAGAACGCTGCCGCTCGCCTGTTGACCGGTTCAAAAAAAAGAGACCACATCACTCCGGTTCTCTGCTCTCTCCACTGGCTCCCAGTTGCTTTTAGGATTGATTTTAAAATCTTACTGCTGGCTTTTAAGGTTTTAAATGGCACTGCACCTTCTTACCTGTCAGAACTCCTTAGTACTTATCGCCCAGGAGATCTTTGAGGTCAGCCGATCTGATGCTTTTAGATGTTCCCAGGTATAAATTAAAGACAAAGGGAGAGAGGGCGTTTGCTGTGGCTGCACCCAGACTGTGGAACAGTTTACCTCCTCACGTCAGATTCTCCAAAAGCCTAGAAACTTTTAAAACTGCTCTTAAAACTCACCTCTTTTCATTGGCTTTTAGAAAGGTTTAATTTAATTGTTTATTTATTTTTTATTTTGATCAGCGAGGTGTTTTACGAAATTGTGTTCTATTGTATTTTTATCTGTATTTACTGTACAGCACTTTGGTCAGCCTTGGTTGTTTTTAAATGTGCTCTATAAATAAACTTGACTTGACTTGAATGATGACATTACACAAGGGAAAATAACCTTAATCATCTACAAGTCAGCTGTGAGGGTTATTATCTGCTGCCTTATAATTGTCAGCTGGCTTTTTAGCTTTTATTAGCCTTTCTCCTCTTCCTTTGTAAATACCAGACGACAGAGGGGAAAGTCTTGGCCTGGAAATCCACTAACATGGAAGCTTGGAACAAAACTGAGCAGCCGATGGGAGTTAGAGCAACATTTCCCACTGTGGAGCACATGTGGCACAACTGGAAAAGCTTCAGCTCTGTCCAGTAGAAGTGGCCAACGAGAGGATACCAAAAGCTCCCAGAAGCAGAGGTCTTGCTTTGTGCCTGCAGATTTCATAGTTTCAAATGCAGATAACTGCAGGGGTTAGATCCCCTCTCCAATCACTATGGGCTGGTTTTTTAGCACAGAGCTAAAATTTCCACCCGAGTGCCAAACGGGCAAAAGTTTCAGTGGGATAAACGACACCCATCAGCTCGTCATCGGCTAATACTCGGTTTTCCTCTCTGTGTCACGCTACTGGATCAGAGACAAACGAGCTCGGCACATATGACGAGATTCACTTACTGTGTCTGTCCATGACAATGACGTTACTCTCCACCCAGCTGGAGCTCTCGGCCCCCGATGCGCCCGCACTCTGCCCGTGTAATTCCCGTGCACGGTGATGGAGGAGGAGGTGAACTCACATTTGAGGGCTGATGTGTTTGTGCAGCCATTGTTGTATCCAGTTGCTAAGCTTCTGTAACAGAGAAACACAGCGATGGCGTCACAGGTGTGACTTCAGACAGATGTTCTCCTCTCGGGAACACGACCGCTGTTCAAGAAGATCTCACGACTTTATCCTGCAGGACGTGTGACGGCACGAAGCAAAGAAACTAACGCTCACACGAGCTGGCGGTGCTGGTTACATCAAAGCTGGAACGCCACGTTCACCGTTTGTGCATCGGGACAGAAAAGCGTGCGTTTGCTTTCTAACGAGTCAGTCGAGTGGAGGCGTTTCCCAGAACAGAGACGCTGCAGATAAGAGGACGTTTCTGTTGTGTGAACACCTGGACCGCAACAATAACAGCTTCGATTTCACCACGGTCCTCACAAACCACACCACACATATTAAAATGGCTTCAGTGGGCCGGAGAGCAGGAGAAAGGCAGGTGCTGTTCTTCCTGTAAGTGATCTGATTGCAGCTTTTCAGAAATGTGGAACAGCAGGACTGATGGTGCAGATATCACAGATTCATATGCAAAGCAGGACTAAACCGGTCTGCAGTCACTGCGCTGTCCTCACCGTTTCAGAGCACGTGCATACTGTTTTTAAATAATCATTAAGGATCATCTGAAAACGCACAAAGGGAGCACATCGAGTGCTGACACTGACACCGCTTTAGAATCGTTTTTCAGAAAAGTTGGACGAGCTGCAACAAAAGGCTGGAGAAGAGTGTAAACCTCGACGTCTGCCAACTAAAGAGGAGGCCGGGTGTTTCCAGAGCGCACACAGCTGGATGGACACATCTGCATGGGCTCAGGATCATCACTGCGTCCACGCAAAGAAGACCCGGGAACGCCGCCGGCTTGCCTGAGCCGGGCACAGATGGAAGGCTGTGCCCTGACCAATCAGATGCTGAGATTATGTTTGGACATGACGGCGGTTGTGTCGGTTCCACAAACGCACCGCAGTTTAATCTGTTCATCTGAACACGACTCCGCCTCCTGACTTCTGCCTGAACGCACGTCTTCATCAGATCGACCTCATAAAGCCGAGATCTGACAGCGCAGGGAGGAGGGCTGAGGTCGGAGGTCAACACCCACAAAGAAGCGAAGATGTTCCTGTGACGGTTTTACTCGACATCTCAACAGGAGAGAAAAAACACGACTAATCCACGAGTCTGCAAACACACTGTTCATCAGCGCACGGCGTTCTACAGAATAACCGCCGCACCTCTGCATCCAGGTAAATCCAGGTGTGATGGAAGGTTTACTCAGCGCTGAGTTTTAAATGTTTGTTCCTACAGAAAGACATCAGGTTCAAATTTATACTGCCTGCAGGAAAAACTCCTGATGCTGGACACGAGGGCACATTTATACAGACTCATGAAATCCGTTCTTCTTAGAATGATCTCTCCCAGAACAACAGCTGGAACTCACCGTTCCCCCGCTCTTGGATGAGTAACTTTTGTGACTTTGTGATTCCATAACTGCGTTTGTACTTCTTCTTTGGACACGGCTGTTTCAGTCTCCTCATCGCGAGGCACCATCAGCGCTTCACCTGGAGGTACAGGTGCTTCCTCATGCAGGGATGGCGGCGCGTCAGTTTGCAGATAATGAGCTTTTGCAGGAGCCCATCGGACACAGACATGGTGGGAAGAGCTGAATAGGGTGGCGTTTCATAATCTGACGGTAATGGGCTTGTGGGGGTCAGGTTTGCTCGCACGCGTGAGTACATCAAGGTAGGCGGGTCTTCTCAGGGGCGGTCTGTGGCCACATCGGATTTCATTAGTTCACATTCTGCATGGATTATCTTACTGACAGTTTATCCAACTTCCTCTATGTGGCCTGAACAGAGTACATCCTGCGCTCACAGGCTTTATTGCAGTCACTGTTCCTTCAGTCCATGCAGACCCTGGGAAAAGGCTCGCGCCTTACTTGGGACAAATCCCAGCAGGACCTGAAGCTCTGCAGCATCGCTGAACCGAAGGGTTTCATAGGAGAAAGCATCAGCGGATGTTTTATTGCTGCAGCCTTTCATTTTTTATTTTGGCAGGGTGAGCAAACGTGCACTCATTCTGTATGATGTCAGTAGTTTATAAAGATCTAGGAATATTTTAACTTTCCACGTATTCCAAGCCAGTGTCCTGCAGGTAAAACTTCTTCATAATACTTTATGAACTGTCCAGAATGGAGCCTCTGGTGGGCCGGTGCTGGTCCCCAGGCCTCATGTTTGGCATCCCTGATTCAGAGAGCAACTAAAAATATGACAAAGCGAAGTGTGACCTGCTCCCAAACACTGAGGTGATCGGACTCTTCGGAGGAAGAATAACGTCCATTTCTGAGCCCAGCTGCTCTGGAATCTTTGATTTTCCACTGACAGCGACGAGTAAGACCCAAAGATTAAGTTTCCTTTTCTAGCTCGCAGTGTGATTAGGGGTGGGTTTTTATAATCGATTCATCGATTAAAATCGATTCTGGCTTGGATAACGTAAAATCGATTCATTAAAATCCTGAATCGATTTTTTTATATAAATTTATTTTGCCCGAAATGCCAGAATCTCAGGTGAAATCTCACAAAATTTCAAGAACCACCAAACAGCTAAGAGAGTAAATGAGAGCAGGAACACGGATTCTGCACAAAGACTTAAACACACAGCGCGAACCCACGGATCAGAATCAGTGAGATGTGACTTTCTCACGGTCGGGCTGAAAGCCGACAGCTCGCTGATTCTGATTCGGCGGTCCGTGTGTTCACGCCCTTTATGCGCTGATTCTAAAGCTGTTAGTTTGATGTCTCTCCAAACAATATTGACCGAACCAGCAGCAAAAGAAGATCCAAACTATGCTTCACATAAACATCGTCATGAATTCACTCTGACTTTTACTGTTTTGCTTCGACCACGATGCACAGCTCTCTCTCTCTCCCTCTCTCTCTCAGTATACTTCAAGAACAGTTTCCCGTCTAAAAATCTGTTTCTTCATTATTCGCTTACTTGTTACGCACAAGACTACCGTTGTTTACAGCGCTGTCGGCCGACTTTCTTTTTTTTTCGTTTTATATACTCCGAAAAGAAAACCTAATTTCTGCCGTTCAATACTGAACAAATTAAACTTTTGAAATTATGCAAAATGCAAATGCTGTGTCTCTAATAAAACTGCTGTAACTTCAGATTACAATCATGTGTTGATTAATGGTTTTCTTTCGTTTTTGATGTACTGCAGAATATTTTTATAAAATCCAGGCCAGGAAAATCACCTTCATGTTTTTTTGTGTTTTATCCTCAGCTACTTTGACACAAAGGCCTCTGCTGTGATGCTCACACCTTTGATAAAGTCTTGCGTGTGTCAGCTTCCTTTTTATAGATACAAAAATATGTAAATGTACTGATCTGAATTATAATATTTCTGACTGTCAAAAT